GAAAAAGATATAGGCATACAAGCAAAAATAACTTACCCAGCAAAGTGATTTTTAATGAAATAGAGGACTTTCAAGCATTTCTGATAAAAAAGCTAGGTGGAAATTTTAAAATGCAAACACAGGAGTCAAGACAAATATAAAAAGATAAACATGAATGAATAATCACAAGTGACTAAACAAGGATAACTGGTTATATTCTAATAGAGAGATGATACCCGTATCCTCTCTGAACTCAGTCATTATCAAGGTTCATAGAGGCAGTCTAAGACAAAAGATCTGGGAGTAGTTCAGTTGTCTAGATGATCTGAAAAGAAGAATGGAATAGGAGGGGAAGAAGAATACACTGGAGGGGGGAAGGGAGAGAAGTTAGGGAAAATTAATTCACATAATTGGGGTGCTCAAGTAGAAGTCTATAAAAACAAGGAGAAAAGGTGAAGGGAACAGCAGACACTTAATCTCATTTTAACTGGTCAGAGGAAGGAAGAATACACACACAGACATGGGTACAGAATACATTTAGTTCAACAGGGAAAGGGGAGAAGGAAGAAGGGAAATTATAGAAAGACTAGATTAAATAAGGAATTAGGCCTAAACAAAATCAAAAGATGTACAGAAATGCTTGCAGCTCTTTTTTTTTTTTTGCAGTGGCAAAGAATTGGAAACCAATAGGGTGCCCACAAATTGGGAAACAAGTTATGCTATATACGATGGAATATTACTGTGTTATAAAAAATAATGGAGGGGGATAGTTTCAGAGAAACATGAGATTTGTATAAACTGATGCAGAATGAAGTGAACAGAACCAGGACTACAATTTATACAATGACAACAATATTGTAAAGACAAACAACTTTGAAAGATTTAGGAACTCTGATGAATATAATGACCAGTCATGATTCCAGAGGACTTGTGATGAAACATACTATTTAGCACCTGATAGAGAGGTAAAAGACTCACACTACGGATTGAGACACTTTTTTATGGATGTGGCCAGTAGGAAAATTTGTTTAATTTGATTATGCCTGTTTGTAACAGGGGTTTTGTTTTTCTTTCTTTCTTGACTAGAGAGGTTGGTAGGAGGGAGAGAAAGTGGATTTATACTTATTGAAAAAAACAGAAAGCTTAACTAAAAAGCAAGAAACATGAAGAATATAAATAGGGAAAGAGAAAGTAATACAGCAAAGAAAGATTTTAAATAATATACACATAAACAAAAGCAACAAAATCTAAGAAAATTCACAGAAGAAGAAGAGCTTGGATAGGGCCACAGAAGTAAATAAGACATTATTTTGTTAAAAGAAATTAAATGTATACATTAACCTTAAATTCTAGGTGGTTTAGAATTTTTATGCATAATTTAAAAACATTTTGAAGTTGGTTTTGGGGTATAATTATATTTACATAAAATTAATTTAAGATATTACCAAGACTCCAAGAAATCTAATTATTTTATATGAGTTGATTAAGAGCAGAGAGTAGCCTCCTGAAAATAGTATGGGCCACACTTTTTCCTTGACTCAGAATATTCTACATTGGTGCATTGCCTTTGTTTCTGAAATGGCTTCTATGTGAAACTACCAGCAAATAGCCTGCCAGTTGGTCTTGCCTCACTCCAACCTGTCTTCTTCTCAGCTGTCAAACTGATTTTCCTAAAGTATAAATCTGATCCTGTCACCCCCTGCCTCCCACCCCCACCTCCCTTGATAGGTGCCACAGTGAATAGAATACTGGCCTTGGAGAGAAAAAGACCTGAGTTTAAATCCAACATCAGACACTACCTATGTGACCTTGGACAACCATTTAACCTCTGCCTTAGTTTCTTCAACTGTAAAATGGATATCATAGCACTTACCTCACAAGGTTGTTGTAAAGACCAAATGAGATATATGTAGAGCACAGTGAGATGCTTATAGCACAGTTCCTGATACATAGTAGGTGCTTAATAAATGCTTATTCCTTTCCTTTCCTTATTCAATCAACTCCAGTGGCTACCTGTAACTTCCAGGATCAAATATAAAATCTGTCTTTTAAAGTCCTCCATAACCTGGATCTTTCTTACACGTTCGGTGTTCTTACACCTTACTCTCTCCCTCCCTCAATTACCCATTCATTGAGTGACACTAATTTCACTGCTGTTATTCACAGAAGAAAAACTCCATCTCCTGTTGGTGTTTTCACTGTCTTTCTCCCATGCCTGGAATTTTCTGCCTCCGGTCTTACCTGACTTCCTTTGAGTCTCAGCTAAAATTCTACTTTCTACAAGAAGCCTTTCTTCATTTCCACCTTAATGCTTGTGACTTCCTTCTGTTGATTATCTTTAATTTATTGTTTCTAGATAACTGCATGTGTTTCCCCACCTTACCCCCCAATTTAGTCTGTGACTTGAGAGGAGGGACTATATTTTGCATTTCTTCATATTTCTACTGTTTAGCATAATGCCTGGCACATAGTAGGCATTAAGACATTTCTTTGTAGATTAAAAAAAATATAGACTAGAAAGAAGAGGATCTGGGATATAAAATTAGAGAATTTTGATTTGCAAGTCTTGACCATTACATCTTTGTAGCATATGGAATAAAATCAACAACTTCTGGCAATTAACATTTTACCTAACATAATACCTTTTTTTTAGGTAATCGGGGTTAAATGACTTACTAGATATCACACAGCTAGTAAATATCTGAGGCCAGATTTGAACTCAGGTCCAGTGCTCTATCCACTGTACCACTTAGCTGCAACTTATAATACCTTCTTAAACTTTGTAGAGTTAGGCTGATTGGTTAGAGCCAGGTGCTAACATGACCAATATCTAAAGTGTGAATCATCCTATTAGCCCTTCATTTTGCACAGCTGGATTCTATCATGGTCACAAATCAAACCCACTTAGTCTATGGCACATTCAAAGCTCTTCACTACCAGGCCCCTTCCTACCTTTCTAGTCTTCTTACACTTCACTCCTTTCTGCATAATTTACAATCCAAGTTAAGTCAAGTTAACAAGCATTTAAATTCTTTTTATGTGCCAGGCCCATAATAAAATGGAAGTTATGGGAAGAACCAGCCAGAGGCCGAGGCTGAAGGGGCAGAGGTCATTTTCATTGTGCGAAGTCATCTTCTAGGGTGAAGAGGTTTCTGGAGCATTGTAGAGAGAGTCTGGGATAGTCAGGAGTACAGCCTGGAGAGGAATGAAGAGATAATCCAAGAACATTGGCCTTCTTGCAGTCCTTGCATGTGACATTCCATCCCCGTGATGGCCACTATGATTGGAATACTCTTTGTTTCTGCCTTCTGGATTTCTAGGACTCAGCTCACATCACACCTTGTGGAAGAGGCCTTTCCAGGTCCATTCCCTCCCTCCCCACCTCCCTCAAAGATTATCTCCAATTCACCTGATATATACTTTGTATGTATACAGTTATTTGAATGTTGCCTCTTGGTTAGATTGTAAGATCCCTGAGAGGAGGAACTGTTTTTGCCTTTCTTTGTATCTCCACTGCTCAGCACAATACCCCCCAGATAACTAAGGCTTAATAAATACTTTTGAATGACTGATGGGAATGGAACAATTTATGAGTAAATCTATCACTCTTAGGAAAATAACTCAGAATTCAGCTGATAGGACAGCCAGTATTCTTACAGACAAAATATAGCACACTATAAGCAGATATTTGGTTCTGGGAACACCAAAAGTTTTGTCATTTGGAAAAATTTACAACTGGTATGGCATATGTAAGTGGACCAAAACAGGACTCATTGCTCTTCAATTTATTATAATAATAATAATTTTTTTTTGGTGAAGGAGAGGCAAAAGTAGGATGGAAACTCTTCTAATATAGGTTTGTTTCTTGGTTTACTTTTGTGCTGCAATCTTGTTTTATAAAATTAACTTTTTCAATTAAAAATATATTTTCTCTCCCTGTTATCAAGGGAAAAAAACCCCAAACTCCCTCACAAACATGCAATTAAACAAATTCCCACACTAGCCATGTCCAAAAATGTATGTCTCATTCTACATTTTGAATCCATCACATCTCTGTCACAAGTTGGGTGGCATACTTCATCATCTGTCCTTTGGAATCCTGGTTGGTCATTGCTTTGATCAGTTCTATAGGTTTGCAAAGTTATTCATCTTTATGATGTTGTACACCTGGTTCTGCTCACTTTATTCTCTATTAGTTTACTTTGCATCTTCCTAAGTTTCTCTGTCTCTTTTGTCAAAATAATATTCCATTATATTCATGTACTACTACCATGATTTACTCAGCCATTCCCCAACTGATGGGTACTCCTGTTGTTTCCAGTTGACATTACAGAAAGAGCTGTGATAAGTATTTTTGTATAGATGTGTCCTCTTCCTCTTTCAGAACCTTGCCCTGCATGAATGTATCATGATGACAAATCAACATATGGATAGGTTCAGGTTCTGATTTTAAAACACTTTTGGAACTTGGCCCCAAAGAAGAGGTAAGAGAAGGTACCTCCCACTCCCTTTGGAAGGAAGGTCTTTAGGTGTGGAACACTGTATTTAATAACATCAGATAGGTTGATTGGTTTTGCTGATTTTTTTGCTTTTTATTTTAAAAAAATTCTTTGTTATACAGGATGGCTCTCCAGACAGAAGAGGGAATTCCATCCCATATTCCCTCCCCCTCTCCTCCTGCCCCTGGAAATGTGACTTTAATGAACTAGGCTAATCCAACAACTTTTTGATTTGGGGTGGGAAAAAAGACAGCAATACGATTTCTCTAGAAAATCTTACCAAACTCTCTACTGCCAACATCAATGACACCAGGAGTTATCTAACAGTGAAACTACTTTCAAAAAATGCCCATTTTCACAATGGGCAAGAAGAAATCACCCAGGAACAGGACTGAGTTTGAATTAACTCCATCCCACTCCCTGGAAAAAAGCTGTGTACACTTGTGCCATCTTGTGTTTAAAAACTTTCATTACCCCATAGACTGGCTTAATCCTGTAGTTTGGCAAGAGACACGCTTAGGATTCTCAGTCATTACAGAATATAAATTTATTTATAGAATCTTACAAATAAAATGGTTACAGTCCACATGACAGTACATTTTTGGGTTTTGTTTTTTTTCTTATAACACCTGAGTTTTTTTTTAAAAGAACACTGTGATGGAATTGTAGAACTGCAAAAAGAAATGAACGATAAAAACTCAATTCAATTGATTTCCCCTTTTGCATACTCTCAATGCAATGTGTACTGCTAAATGAAATAATAGAGCACCTCTTCAAATAATCTTGAGACCACTGTGTGAGCAGATGGCTCATTTAAGAACAGACCACTGGGAAAGCCGACTGAAGGGCTTCTTACAAACTCAGGATGAAGGTCCAATAAAGGTTGAAGAATGTGCCAACACTGGGCATTCAAGTGGTAACTTCTCCAAACGTTTTCACCTCAACCCAGCTCCTAACTCTGCAAAGGCTGAGAATAACCCTGTGGTCTAGGAACAGAAAGGAAGGCTGCCTCCCCCAAAAGTGGTAGGGAATAGTATCATAACCTACCTTTGTGTTCTCTCCTTCCCTGGGGATGATGCACTAAACTTCTACCACTTTTTCTCCTCTTCCCCCATCTCAATCCTCCCCTATTTCAGAGAGTAAAATAGAGCTAGCCCACAAAGGCAGTAAAAGTGGGGGTGCAGATAGTAGAGATATAGTATAATCTGTAGACATCTATATATCAAATCGCTCTAAAACTGTACATTCAACAGTTAAAACTGGGGGGGGGAATGCTTATTAAAATGTCATTGAGTTTTCCACCTATACATAACCACCATATTTTCAGCCTATGAGGCATCTCTGTTACTAATGGCAGCTTTCAATCTATAGCAATAATATTGGATGGAGTTCCTTCCCTTTGCTATAACTGACCTCTTCACCATTTTGCATTGTAATGTGAACTTCCTTGGGGCAGCTATGGGAGAAGGGAAAGAAAGTTCTTAAGTTACTATGTATGCAAGAAAGAATAAAATGCCATATTTTAAAATGTTTCAGATTTTTAAGTAATTTCAAATAATTTTTATACCACCAAACAACTAACTCTCCTATATCAGGAAGCCATTGACCCTAAAATGATTCTCTTCTAAGGCCAAGAGTTTGATATTATTTTGGAAAGACAGAATCCTTTAGAAGAGACTTTATACATTTTAATATAAATGTGAATTAAGAAAAATAAAGGTTTTCTGCTGGTTCTCCTGTACAGGAGAATGATCTATAGATTCAGTTTCTCCAGCTCTGAAAGCATTTCTGGGGGAAAAAAGAAGCAAAAGGGTTGATTTAAAATGAGAAAGGTTCCAAAATCCAAGGAAACAGCTCTTTGGTAGAAGTGGACCTTAATTCTGATGAAAGTTGTACATCCCACAATCCTTAATGCCAAAAGTTCTCTTCACTTAGCCCCTCAGCCTATGTAAGCCAACAAGCAAAATAAAGAGGAAAACTCTTGTCAGTGAGTGAACCGGCAGCAATTCCCTCACTTTTTTTCCTACAGGATAGTGGCAGGAGGAAAGTTTTCCAGAGGACTGCCCTCCCCCCCCCCAAAAAAAAGATGCTGTTTTTAATTAGTACATGATGGAGGGTGTTGCAGTACCTTTTCTTACAGATCAGCCCTATGCTCACTTGCAGACATGAGAAGAAAAGAAAAACTTCATAGATGCTAGCAGTAAATTACCAACCTTCCCAATTAAGTAAATGAGTATTAGTCAAGACAGCCCCTGGGTTGCAACAGTGAGGCATTGCCTAAATGGCTTCCAGGGGTCTTCACTGCCCAAGTGGCTGAAGAATTAGACATTATCAATATGATAATAATAAATCAATTCACCTAGTGAACTTGGGGAACAGCTATCCCTTGAAGCCAAAGTTCTGACCACACTATCACTCCCTAGGGCTGGGCTCTAGCTTCAACAGGCATATCCATCTTCTTTAGAAAGTTGGTATTATCAAGGACCAATCCCACTACTATCTCTATTTTGTTTTTCTTGGAAAGCATTACAATAGGCAGTGGCATTGTAAGCTAATTCACAGTGCAATCATTAAGTCCTCTACGCTGCTCAAACCAAGGTCTTCTGACCTCACACTGCACCATGTCCAGTCACAGCACTGTTTTCCCCTTAGCACATTCTGAATCTTGGCCAGCTCCACTCTTCTTCCATCCGTCTCCCCCTCGACTTGCCTCTATGATAGAGGTCGACTTGGGGAGATGTGTACAATCTCCTCTCTAGAGCACCCTGAATACTCCAGGGAGATGCTTCTAAAAAGGTGAGAAGAGCATCCTGGAAGCAGCAGGAATCCCTTTCCTCCATTCTCAGTGTTACTCTGGAGGAAAGAGGAGGCTAAAACAGCAGTAGTCATGTCTATTGTTTAACTAGTTTGGAAGAGAGGAAAAGTCACGACATGCTGGGGATGCCTGTGGGAACTCAACACATAACAGTCCCTCAGGAAGGAGAGGCTGTCATCAATGCAGAAGAAACATGGCTTTGTCTTTCTTCTCATTTTTGCCTTCATTCTCCCCATTCAATAGATCCTTCTCATAAAACATCCTTAGCCCCATTCCCTTTGAAAAGCATGAGGCAACTAAAGAAACTCTGAAGGGATGAGATGGATCTTTTCTCTACATGTGAGGTGAACTTTTCTCAAAAGGGGACATGGTCAGGTCCAAATGCATCTCCTAATATCAAGTAATGACAACTAGTTACAGTTCTGTGTTCTAGAGTCTGGGATATGTGCTGAATCAGAAAGGAAACAGGTTCTGGAGTTTGATGGTACCACTGCCAGCAGGGCTTGTCCACAGAGAAATACCAGAAAGTGGTCAAAGAGAGAAGCTGGGTCGTCTGTCTTCCATGTTATTTTCAGCGTCCAGAGTCACTTTGGGAAAAGAGAGCAGGCAGAGGGGTGGGAAGCACTACCTAGCAACCAGTTACTAGGGCAGTTTATTCTAGGATTCAGTATTTTTAAGACAGCTGACATTTAGATGAGGGAATGCAGTCCACAGAATAGCCTTTAACAGAAACGCCTCTTCTGTTGTGCTTTGTTGAAATTAAGTCCTCAAGCCAGTGCTACCTGTTGACAGGGTACCCCAGTGTGTTTCACTGCCAGCCTCACTATTGATGGCATGGCACTATCCTATTTGGATTTGCCCTGAGTAGATAGTGAGAACTAGCATGATGGTAAAGCCTGTGAGCAGGCCAAGATTCTGGATGACAAAGGGAATTAGGATGCTGCCGCTCCTTTCATCTTCGCGACAAACTTCATTCATCTCTGGGAACTGGGGAAAAAAAACAACCACCGAGAATGAGAGAGTTAAAGTTCTGTCCTTATATATCTTTCCACTAACCCAGCACACGTCCCAGCAAGTTCTGAAGGCTGCTACGATTTCCACGTGAAAGAAGAGAAGGCAACAGCAGCAGCAGGTAGAATTTAATAGTCACGTTAAGCCCAGCTTTTCTCCATGGCAATTACAACTTTGGAGTAACAGGAAACAAGGTCCTGTCCCGACTAGCTTTTAAACTCTGGCTGAAAATAAGCCTTTCACAAACAGAAGCAACCATTTTATTATATATGCAGTATGCAGTATAGCTATGACTTGATCTGCCTCCAGAATGCAGTCAGCAATGGTGTGGGCTACAGCAGCTATTGAAGCCAGCCATATATAACAAGTATACACTTGTGCCCATGGCCATTTGTGGCTTGGAGAAAGGAAGCTGGGTTTTCACTAGCTTGTACCCTAAGCCTCACACTATTGGTGGGGAATGAGCCAACTGAGGCCAACCACAGTCTTTAGGAATGCTTTGTGCTGGAAACATAGCAAGACGGTCTAACCAGTTAGCAAATTTAAGGATGCCATATATGTTTGAAGATCCAAAAGAGCCTGGGGCATTCCATAAAGTGATAATGGACCAGGATGGTCGACAAATTTATCATCTCTTGTGAAAACTGTCCTATAATCTTTAAGTATCATTAAGTCAGGGCCCTGATGAAAAATGATAATTAAATACTAGCATTTACAGAGCACTTTAAGGTTTGCAAAGTGCTGTACACATATTATTTCATATGATAAGGTGCTCACAACACTTCCCTACGGAACATAATATCTTCTTGAGAGGCCTTCTCATGCAAAGAATGTAAGGACCAAGTTCAGCTCTTCCCAACTGGCATTAACTTTTGAAGACTTACCATATCAGCCAGGGCAATATAGAGGAACATTCCCCCAGCCAGAGCAAAGATCCAATTGGCAGAAAAGTGACTGCCAGCCAAAATCCCGAAGGCCAAACCCAGGTAGCAGCAGCAGGCAGAGAGGAAGTTGAAGAATATAGCCTGTTGGATACTCATTCCAGCATTCAGCAGAATGACAAAGTCTCCTAAAAAGGTGAGTGAAGGAAGGAGGAAAAAATAAGATGAAGATATGAAGGATAACACAGGTTATGGAAGATGGAAAAAATTTGAAGGGACAAATTTCAAAGACAAAGTTTATGGATAACCAGGGCTTACCCAAAAGTTATCCTAAAACAAATGAGAGTAAAAGCAAATCCATCCACAGGCTTTGGAGTTGCCTATGATTGGGAAAACTGGCCAAATACCCAAAGCCCAATGGCAGAAACTAATTCACATGAATTAATAAAGACATAAAGACTAGGATTGGCTTTGATTTCTGTCTTTCTGATGGAGAAGTAAAATGTGTAAGTTCATCACAATCCTCATTTCCTTTTTCTGGCTCACATTTTAGCAGCTAACTGGCTTTACAGAAGCTCCAATTTAGACTTCTGACAGCTTTTTAATGGTCTAAGTCAGGGAGAGAATGGGCATAGGACACATAACATCTCTTTTAAAATGCCATGTTAATATTAGAAAGATACATAATTTCATCAGTGCGGATAGTGGGTGCACTGACAAAGATAACAATCCCTTCTTGCCTTGGTAGTTAGTTTTCATAAGCAGCTGTGAAGGTGAAAAAAATTCAGTCATCTGATGGTCAACTTTCAGGTGATGACTCTCTCTGCATTTATTGGGCCTGGGCCTATACTAACTGACAGGCAGCCCATGGCTGGGCCTATTCCAGTTTGGTGAGACCTGTCAAAGCTTACACTCCATGGGTAAAATCTTCAAGAATGAGGGTCACCTCTATGCCACAATGAGCAATAGAACAGAGGCTTATCTTTCATAATCATATTATACAGGAGAATAAGGAGAAAGAAAATCTTATGTGGCTTCTATTCAAAGCTGGCAAATATCTCTTGCAAGAGGCAGTGGCTAAATTTCAAACCAGATTAGGTTTTAATTCAATTCAATTTAGTTCAATTAAAACATTTATTAGTCACTTACTATGTGTAAAGTACTATGGATGGTACAGGGGATATAAAAATGAAACCAAAACAATCCCTGCCCTCAAGGACCTTACATTCTACAAATGATTATAAAATTTATTTTCGTGGAATTGGAAGTAGGAATGCATAGGTCCCATAAAGGGTATAAGTGTGAGCAGTACAGTCAGAACAAGAAGGCCCCTTCATACCCAACTCATGTGGAAACTCCTCACAGAGAATGGCCACTGAGGTGCTGATGCCTTGGAAAACAGACACGGTGAATGAGGCGCCAATGGCTAAGCCATCAATGAAGTTGTGGAGGCCATCACTCAGGGTGATCATCCAGGCCAACGTGCCAATGTCAGAGTAGTGGACACCTTTTATCCAGTAACATGCACTCTGGGATGCCTGCAGGTCCTATAAGAGAGCCAATTTCCCCCCAACCCCCAACCAATAAGAATATTAGAGAGGAAAGAGAGCTTTTCCTGCAGAGGGTTGGAGAACCATACCCCCAGAGTTCCACCACTAATTATACAGTTCCCTGACATTCAACAAATGAAGACCCACATACCTGGACAGACAGAGAGCCTACAATGACCTTCTCATCCATCCCTGGGGCCTTGCTTTCCAGATCCCTATTCAGGTGCTGTGGTATCATGTGATCCAGGTCTCCGTTCTGCAACTTCTCAGTCACTCCCTCTTCCTGGTCCTTCTTAGAAGGGACAGTCTCAGAAACGTAATGGCTATGCCCATGGTGATGCTAGAGGGACAGGAAGATGAAAGATGCATGGCAGTGATCAACTAACAGTGAGGAATTTGTTCTCCTTATCGTCCATAAAATTAACATGCATCTATTAAGTATTAGCTATGCATGAGAAAATTTTGCTTGGTACCATGGGGAGATATCAAGAAATATAAGACGTGGAGCTCAGCCTTAAGTACTTACAATCTAGATGGGAGAGATAAGGTAATATACTTGCAAAGTTAAATAATAACAAAAGGTGTAAATATGATTTATCGTACAAGATAACAACAAAAGAGGTCATGAGGTGGTATGAAATATGACTATAAAATGAACCTGTATTTTTTTTTAAACAAATATATCCAAACTTATAACATCCAAAAGAGCCTTGAACACCACAGTCCCTCCACTCCATCTTAGGAAGCTATACGTATGTACACCTAATTTTAACAAGACTGACGTTACTCAAAACATTCTTAGAACTCTTCTTCTAGAACAGTTTTTTTGGTTAAATATGGTCAATTAACAAGTGACACCAGAAGACATCATTTTATTGTCATATTTCAAAAACAATTATTGTTCTCTATTTCACCCCCTGTGGATAAAACCCTGAGAAAAGAGCTGAATGAATAAGACCAAATGGATATTAATATAGTCATGTTATTGGACTAGAGCTGTCATCCTGGGTCAATCACTACTTAATCTGCATCTCCTTCCCACTGGTCTACCCATGAGGTGAAATGCAAACACACTTTATAACACCATGAGAAGAATGTGAAAGTTCAAGGCGGTGGACTTATGGTAATAACATAAAATATATAAAAATTATTTGAGAAGAGAACCTTGTTAGGAGAGATTCCTTTGCCAGCCCCTTCAGCCTCACCTCGTCTTTCTGTTTGAGAAGCATTTTCAAAATCTTCTCTGTGAAGAAGAAGAGGTAAAAGCCTCCAAATACCACTGCTGATTTTGAGACATAATAATCTTCTAGTGGGTTGAATCCAAAAGCCTGTGGACCCAGAACAACAGGATGAGTTTACAGCAACATAAAACCATCACTGGGGCTCTCTGGCTCTAGGAACATAAGCACCAACATCCTAGACTACTATAGTGATTTAACAAGTCAAGAATTCTTCAATCATGGAAGTTTCATTGATACAGGACTCTTCAGCCTGTTCAGAGATGCTTTACGAGAAAAGTTCTCCTAAACCTATAGCTTGTTTCTAAATAAGAGAACAGAGAAACTGTAGGGATGTGACCTTGGGCATAACACCACCATGGGCACCTACCTCCAGTTTGGCAAAACGTGCTTTTTCTGAATCTCTTAATTTTTTTTTCTCTCAAAGTACATCCTTCATCATTAAGCTCCTTCAATTAAGCAATCAACTCTATTTGACTAGAATGTCAATGTGCTATCTTTTCCTCTTACTTAGAGAATGTCCCTGTCTGAACTATATGGGAGCACAAAGGGAAATGAAGTAAATCAGACTATCTGTAAGAGGAAAGCCATTTCCTCATTATGCCAGAAGACTTGTAGTCCCTTCCTGGGCACAAATGCACACAGCAGACAGATGAGAAAGCAGACTACCAACTCCATCCCATTTCAATTTTTGTTCTAGGTTCTTCCTGCACTTCCCCATTTACACTAAGGAAGCATGACAAGACTAGAAGTCAGGAGACGTGAACCTTAGGTTCATCCGTTGACTTACGGGAGGATCTCAGGAGACCCACCCCTGTATCTGAGTTTCCCTAAAAGGCTTGAGCAACTCCCAGACTTTTTCCAATAACATCATTATATGCTAATAAGCCTAAACAATCAGTAGGCCATCTGGATGTACAGAATAGTTGTGGATAGAATAAACTGTCATGTCACCTATGAGAGCCAAATCACCTCAAAGACATGCTGAATAAGATACAGGCAACTAATCTCTCTCCTTCAACACCAATAGGCTGTGGTCTGTAGTCACTGCACCTGGAAGGAGTCTATGTATCTAGCCCCTGCTTTCCCCTGTGCCACTAACTTGGGTAAATCACTTATCTTTCTTAACTAAAACGAGGAGAAAATTACCTGCCTTATCTATCATGAGGTTGTTATAAAAATCATGTTGAGAAAACAGGCATGAAAACACTTTTGCAGAACAAATACAAACATGGAGTTGTATTATTCTGTGTCTGTCTCAGTTACAGCTAGGCCAGATCTGCCAGAGACAACTGACTGAAAAAATCTCATGAGCTGGAGAGGCAGTAAATAACTCTGGTTACACCACAGTCAAATTAAGAATCTCAGAAGCTGATTACCAAACTTTCTAAATATTTGCACACTGTTCCCCACTGTGGAGAACATGCCAGTTCAGCTGTGCAAGGGAGCAAAGGTGCCACGAACACATGCAAATTCTGACCACAAAATGACCTCATCTGGGTCACCACTGCCCTACATCCACCCTTCCAAACAAAGGAGAATCAAGTTGCTAAGTGAGATCCAAATTCTGGTGATTTTTCTCACTTCTTTACTTCAGAAACCAAACAGACCTTTGAGTTGAGCCTACATTATTAGGAACTCATTACTTGTGGTTAAGAGAGAGCCCAAAGCTCAAGTAGGGGATGAAAGGAGAGCACCACGTAATCTGATTCTATCAGATTGAGTCCTAATTCAAGCTAAAAGCAGGACTCAAGAGTTCTCTCCACACCTTCCATAAAAATGGAAGGTTCCCCACTAGAGCCCACCCATCCCCCCGAGACCAGACCTCCTCCCATGGGGGAAGGTCCTCGGCATACCTCAGGGATGAGCTGGAAGAGGGCATTGGAGTAGAGGGTTCCAATCGCCAGAGCTATGAAGTAGAGCAGCAGCCTCTTGTAAAAAGTCTTCTTCATGAAAGGCACCACACTGGCCCCGACGAGGGAGCAGAGGGAAATGACGGTCACACAGAGGAGACCGTAACCCCACACTGCAGTCGGGAGGCCAACCCCACCCAAAGGGGAAAGAGAAGGGGAAAAGACCCCAAAAGATCAACCCATAGGTTTCAGAAGATTGTAAACGGGAAGAGAAGGGGAAAGGGTTTGTTTGGTGTCCAGGGAGGGGCAGAGGGGATTTACAGGGGGAAAAAAAAGGAGAATCAGAGATGGGGAGAAATAGGGAGGGAGAGAGAAAACAGAACATTTGTTAGTGATTTGAGTTGGAAAAAATTTTAATGAATTGATTCAGATCGCAATGAGCAGTTTTAAGACGGCCTTCGAGCCCTGCAGCTTGGGTTCCTGTTTCCTTCCAAGTGATTCTCCCAAAAGCTGTTGCAGTCATATCTGCCAACTTCTGAATGATAAGCAGTGTGGTTACACATCTCATGAGTCCTCTCTATGACCACGAAAGTTTTTGGACCTAAAGCCTCTTGCTTCTGCAGAAGCAAAGGCAGATGGCAGCAGGCAGAATTCCATCTGGTACTTTTGCCTGGTAAATCCAATCTCTAGTATGTATTCACACACATACTACTACTATTTGGATCAGTAATGGAAGGTAAATACAAAATTTGTGGGCATGGTAAGATGGAGGGATAAGAAGGGTAGACAAGGAATTAGGGCCTCTTCCCATATCCTTCAGGGTCTTCTATTCTAGACTTGCCTAGTTCTCTTTTTTGGGAGACCCAAATTTAGAAGACAGAGCTCTAGGACCGCCCTGATCATTGTATAATTTCTCTTTCAGCATTTCACAGTGTCACACACTCCATGTCCCAGTTCCTTCACAGACCCTGAGCCACAGCCATCATCTTGAATCAGGCTGTGTCAAATACTGGTTGCTATCAGGATCCCAGAAAATGGCACCTGTGAACCATGACAGGGGTGGAGTATGTGTATAATCATTTCATTTCCACTCAATTAGGCAAAAAAGGCATTTCATGTCAAATAAGAAAACAAAATCATACTTCTAGAGCTGTAAAAACAATAACCCAAGAAGATGAGGATTGCCCTGGGTCAGAGTGGGGGGTGGAGAGGGAAATATTTGATGAGGTCTTTTCAACTGGCATTGGCCAAAGCTGCCAAACCTTAGGTCAAACAGAGAAGCCTCATTTGGCTTTGTAAGTATCTTGGGTGGGTTTATGTGAGATGCCAGTCTATGTCTTTCTGTCATTTCTCCCCTATAGGAATAGGAACTTTGAATGGGAGGTTGGAAGGGTAAGTAATGTACAAAAGGCCTAGACTTTGCTCAGGCAAAGAGATAAGAGGGACTTCAGAGGCCGGGCAGCTTTTAATTTTTTCCCTGAGAAAAGGGTCAAAAGTTCACCTGCCCTTGACTCAAAACTAGCTGAGTTTCCTGGAATTGCTGCTGAGGGATTAACCCAAGGAAAAATTCATCTGATTGCAGACCTCATTCCTAAAAGGAATAGTGCAGAAGTCCAGAGATTTCCAAATTCTGTTTGGCCAGGGCATGAGGTTCTGTTGTTTTGTTTTACTTACTGGTTACAAAGGGCAGGTAGGGGGCCAAGGCAGTCAGTCAACAGTAAGCAAGCATTAATTAAGAACTTACTCTCTGGGCAGACTTTCCTTCCATCAAATTGGGTGTCATCTTTGCAGCTCTTGAATCACATAATTAAAAAACAAAATTAATGAATGCTTCATAATTCACAAAAGCCCCAACAAGTCATCAGGAAACCAGCTCTATCAGGAAAGTATCAAGATGCAAGGTCTAGACAGTTAGTTGGTCAGGCACTACTAAAATAACTCTACCCAATTTTCCTGTGTTTATTCTCTTCTGCCTTTGTTTTCTGTATGGCTCTCTGAATGCTTCAATTGAAGACCACAACCAGAAACACTCATGCTAATTCTATCAGCCATATTGTGAATGATCTTCCTTCCTTCCCAGATCCCCATGTCATCTTTTAGGATTCTTCCCTGTGGTCATGCTTAACTTCTCACCAGGATCATGAGTTAAGGGAAGTTACTAAGGACCCAAGGGAACACATGCCCTTAATGGGTTACATTTACCCAAGGCAGGAAGTTCCCAGAAGTACAAGCTGCCCTTTTAGTTATCATAATGAGAGACTATGAGGAATAGTAGGTCCCAGGAAAAGGATAATGGGCCAGCCTCAAAGTCAGGAAAGCCTCAGTACGCATCTTGCCTCTTGATAGATTTAAGTGCCTTAAAGGCAACTTTGAAGGCTATAATTTGCAGAGGAGTTACAGGTTTGTACTAGTGGAGGGAAATTCCACAACTGAACTTCTCCAGGTTGATGAAATCACATGTATGGATTAAAAAAAAAAAAGATAAAGCAACGTACATGGGAACTCTAAATAGAGGAAGGGGAAGGAAGGAATAGGGAAGAACCTTGCACCTGACATTGCCTGAAGAGACCAGAGACAAATCTGAGAGCTTTCTGGGATGGTGGAAAAGTAAGAGAAGGTCCTAGAGATCCAACAGGAAGAAGCATCTTTGGTGTCGAGGCTCAGCACAAAAGAAATTTTATTTTCTGGATGGCGACTGGGTGAGTGAATGGGATGAAATGGGGGGAGAAAGGTCAGCTGATGGAAATCCCAGCTGTCGACGCAAAAAGAAAACTGTGTTTTTGTTTTTTTTTTCTGGTCTACCACACCTCTGGGATCAGCTGGAAGAGCGCATTAGAGAGCAGCGTTCCAATGGACAAGGCGATGAAATAAGTGAGGACCCGGCTGAAAAAGGTCTTCTTGGTGCAGGGCAGGACGACAACTCCCAGGAGAGAGGCCAGGTTAATCAGGGACACACTGAGGAAACCAAAGCCCCACACTGTGGAGGAATAAGAACAGACAGCAGCCCTGGTTACCAGAGGGTGGCAGAGGACTCGAGGGGCTTCTCCTGGGGAGGAGGGCCTTGTCCAGTGCCCACACGTTCTTGGAGCCAACCAACCAACACTTCGGTAATACCTGCTCTGACTTTAGCCCTGTGGGCGAGGCAAAGAAGTCAAAGACTTGGTGGCTCTACTCTTCAGGAGTTTACAATCTACTTAGAAACTAAAGACATAAATACACAAAAAGTTCAACAATAACACTCAAACAGAAGGGCTGAGAATCTGTCACTGTGGGGGAGCTCCCAGTATGAGAACTCTCTCCACCGAAGCAGCCTACAACTTGGGAGATAAATCCTAGGTTGCTGCTTACAATTTGTACCTGAGCAGTGAGTTAGAAGACAATAACAGACCATATGGGAGATATCACAAGACAGTATGTGATTCATTGTCAAGTGAGTAGGCCTGATAATTACTATGATTTTAGAAGAGGGAAAGATTGATGTGAGCTAGAGTGGTCAGTGAGGGACAAGATTGGCTGGAGCGGGGAGAGGAAGACTTGAACTGGGCAGGATTTAGATTAACAGAGAGGACATTCCAAGAACAGACAATGGGCACGATCAAAGTGGGGGGGGGAGGCAACAGAAATCCAATGTGTTACCAGGGGACAATGAGCAGCTTGGTGGGGAGGGAGCGTCTGTGTATCACAGTCACAGGAGATGAGTCTGGAAAGGTAGAATGGGGCCAGATTGTGGAGGGCCTTGAAGGAGAGCTTAGGTCACTACACAACCATTATTTTGTGGTTCATTTTTAAAGTCTGGCCAGATAGGGGTATTCAACTCTCAGGAAATTAGGATAAACTTAAGTCAGGCCTAACATGTGAGTTCAACACCTGGTTGGGTCAGAATCAGAAATAGAATACTGATGGCATAGTTGTTGCTCTCCCCTCACTGTACCCTGGGTTAGAAAGGCACTAGGAAGGGGAGAGACCAGCACCATCAGGAGCCCCAACAGTGCTAGCTCACCAGGCCACCTCTGGTGGCACACCCGGAACGCTGAGGAAGCCCAGAGAGGGGAGCAGCATGGTCCTCAGACACCAACGCCTCCCACCAATTGCTTACCTTCTACTGCACTTGGTTTCCCTTCCTCCGTCTGCTCGTCCTCCTCGTTCTCCTGGTTCTCCAAGGTGCAGGCTCGAGAGTCCAGCTGCTGCAGGATTGTGGGACAGAATTCCTGGAACTCAGACCTGCCAAGCCTCGACTGGTCACTGAAATTGTGGGCAGCAAAGAGGTCTGCAGAGCTAAAACACTGGTGAGAAAAGTGGGGTTGGGAGGAAGGACAAATCAAAGGTCCCTGTGAGTCCAAAAGCTTTGCTTTGTCTTTCAAAAAGATAAGAACAGTTTCCCATATTCCTGGAAGCTTACAAATTTCTAATTTCTTTTGTGATGAAGCTGCTTTGAAAGCCCATAACTCTCTTCCCTTCAAAAGGCCAATTACATCCAGGTTAATGCCAGCTATGAATTGGTCCCCCACCCCATTTCCCACCTTCTCCACACCTCTTCTAGCTTCTTCCTTAAAAAGCAGCCAGGATGGGTCAAGGCTCACCATGACTTGGCCCCACCTAGGAACAACCATTTCTGCTATAACACTTGTTAAAACCTAAATTTGTTCCAACGTAATTGATACATTAGCAGCATTTTGGACATTATTTGAATGTTAAGTTTGCATATGTTTGATTTTGAGAAACAACTGAGAACACAGAAAATTGCAGCATGCTTCATTATAACTCACAAGTTACAACCCTTCTAAACACACACTTCTATAAACGTCAGAGTTTTGTCAAGGTCAAGTGCCACACTAATTGTCTATCTTCTGGTACAGTGGGAGCTGTGAGTAGAGGAGGGCTGGTCTGACCTTGTGCCCACTCCCAACTTCCACCATGGTCAAGGCCCCCAGCCTAGCCCCTGGAAACTGGGGAGTAGGCTAAGCAACAGCTATTGCAGTGTGCGTATGTGATACATACATACATATATATATATATCTATCTATATAGATATATAGATATATATATACATACATACATATATATATCTATCTATCTATATAGATATATATATATATATATATATATATATATATATATATATATATATATATATATCTCAACTATCTGACCTGTACAAAGAGTGTGCTGTCATTTTTATATTAGTTTCTAATGCTTTTTCATCTGTTCATGATAAAAGTTTTTGAGTGTTGTATCTCTAATACCATTTTCCCCATAAGCCCTGTGGATTTCATTTCGAGATTTTGCATAGCACGGTGCTTTCTGGGAACACATTATGCTGAATTATATATAGCAAACTGACTGTATCTGACTTTTTTGTTCATTTTTACTCAGGAATATGAATCCTCTACTATGATTCAATTCCATAAACATAAGTGCCTACTATTTACAAAGCACTAGGGAGACAAAAATGAAAAACTATACAATCCCTGATAATAATAATAATGATATCACTTTAAGCTTTACAAAGCACTTCAGGTGTTATCTCATTTTGTCACAACAACCCTGTGAGGTAGGTGCTATTATTATCTCCAATTTACAGATAGGGAAACTGAGGCTGGGAGAAGCTAAGTAATTTTCCCAGGGTCACACAACTAATAAATGTTTGAAGCAAGATTTAAAGTCATGTCCTCCTGACTGATCCCCACACTATCTATCCACTATACTCCCTAGCTTCCTGAAGCTCACATTCTGTAGTTCTAGAGGGATATAGCATACAGAGAGAAAAACACACGTTAAAGAAGGGGGGGAGGGGAGCATGATGGAGGCAAAGTAAAGAACCAAATAAGGAGGGATCTCAAGTCACTTTGAGAAGGGAGAAGACACCCTGTGCTGGGAGTGGGAGTGGAGTACATACAAATACTCCAAATCAGGGAAGACTTCACAGCAAAGGCAATACCAAAAGAAACCTTAAGTCACAGAACTGGAGAGTCAGAAGGGACCTTAGCAGAAAGGACCTCATCTAACCCACACTCCAACATACCTGACAAGGAGCTCTCCAGTTATACAAGGAAGAGGCACCCAGCCCCCGCCTAGAACCCAGTGCTAACCAGATCTGCCCTCTGCAGACTAAGAGAATGGGCCTAACCCCTCTTCCACCTGACAGCCCCTCACCTGCGGGGGATACCTATCACGCTCCCCTGAGCTCTGGATTCAAAACTGATCCTCACTATGGCATGGTCTCAAGCCCCATCACCCCCTTAACTGCCCTCCTCTTGAAAGGAAAGGAGAATTTCAATGGGTAGAGATGAGGAGGTGTGCAGCCTTGGCACAAGGGGGTGGCCTATTCCTTTTCATGCGCACAGTAGGGCTGACCTACAGTGGTCACACTGTCATGTTTTCAGATTCTTCTCCCTCCTTTCCCCCAGGAATACATCATGTGTTGTACAACAGTAAAGCACAGTGGAAAACTTATTAGAATTGTAGTCAGGAGTGACCTGTGTTAGAATACCACCTTACATCTCTCTAGCTCTCTGGCCCTAGGTTTCTTACCCTCTCTGATTTTAAGTTTCCTTATCTGTAAAATGAGTATCTGTAAAACCTATCTGAAGGGGTTTCTATGAGGATCAAATGACATCATACAAGGGAAAGTGTTGTGCAGACTTTTTTTGGGAGTTCAGGCCTCTGATTTTAGGGAGCAGGAGACTCCCAATGTGTAAACTGCCTCCAGGAATACAGATCAGCAACTCAACTGTAATTTATAGTCTTAAAGAGTTAGCTGGGATAGCAAGAAGGGAAAAGGTTTCTCCTGGCATGAAACCAGGATGTATCAGAGGTATGACTTAAAGCCAGGTCTCCCAGCCAGGTCTCCCCAGATTCTCAAAGTGCCATGTGCCATATCAATCCCTGGTATCATCTGCATTACTTCAGTGCCTTCCGCATTCCCCTGGCCTAGAATGGCTTCCCTTGTTCCTAGCCAAATCCTGGCCCCCTCTGAAGGTCCAGGTCGATTCCTGCTCCAACTACTCAACCCTCAGTGACTTCCTTTTCCTCTAAACTATCTCATTTAGCACTAAAGTGTCTGCTACCTTGTGCTGTTCTCCAGTTGTCCTGTGGTTCAGTCTCCCCTCCCAGCCGGCCTAGGTTCCTCCTTGAGTACTGGATCATGACTCTTCTCACTCACCTTACTTCTCTGGATTTCTGGTCCTCCTTTTCCTTATGAGCAGCCCTCCCATCCTGGAGATTTCTCCAGGTGAGGCCCTGCTTTCCTGACTGGTGACTGTCTGCTCATACCACTACATCAGGGGTGGCTGGGTGCCTCACATGCTACCCACTGCTAACAACTCAAGTCTCCAGACCACTCTTTCTTGTCCTCCTTGCCAAATGGCATGTACTCATCCTCCTACTTTCCAGCTTGCCTTTATACGCTGTCTTCCCACAGTAAGATATATACTTTTTAAGGGTGGGGACTATTCTGCTTCCTGGTATTTGAATGCCCAGCATGTAATGTAGTGCCTAGGCCATTGTAAATGCTTTGCAAACACTCTCACTCTCTTCTACCTCCTTTGTACTAGGTACAGGGCTGCCATTCATTAGCTGTGTCACCTGGAGCAAAGTGCTTTGTGGCCTAGGACCTCAACTGCCTCAGCTGTAAAATGGACCAGATCAGAGATTCTTAACCTGAGGTCCATAAACTTGTTTTGTTTTGTTTTGTTCTCTTAAAGTCTAATAACTGCATTTCAATATAATTGGTTTTCTTTTCATCCAATGAATTTTTTGTTTTATGCCTTTATAAACACGATTCTGCAGAGGAGTCCATAGGCTTTACCAGAGGGGTCCTTGACACAAAAATGGTTAGGAATCCCCAGACCAGATGATCTGAGATCTCTTCCAGCTCTGATGCTATGAGCTTTTCTAAACTTCAGCTTCCTCGTTTATAAAATTCAGATACTAAGCTCTGAGAGCTTAAAACTTATTGTTTTGTACAAGATTATTGTACAAGAATGCCCTTTCTGATACAGAGTTGTTGTGAGAATAATCCTTTGCAAACTTTAAATGAGAAATGTGAATTACTATTATTATTAAGCTAACACTGGAGACCCAATAGTTCTATGTTACAGACAAACAGATGAAGAATTAGCCTATTTGCCAGCTACTCCTTCCTGTGCTCGATGAGACAGAAAGCACATTTACCCTGGAAAGATTCCTCTGTTCCAGCTCTGGCTGGGTGATGTTGTCCCGTCCGACTCCCACGTCGAGGCGGTTGAGCAGGGCCTTCAGCTGCTGCAGGGTGAGGGTGTCTGCTTCACCATAGCGATGCATGAGGTCTTCGAGGAAGGAGGCGGCAGTGATGGCTGGTGGCCCGAGAGACGAGCCACTTGCTCCGGAAGCAACGCCCAGGAAGCACAGCAGCGTTAACAGGAGGCTCTGTGGGGCTTGGTGAAGCTTCATGGTGACCAGATGAGGCTACGAGAAAGAAGAGCCAAGTTATAATGAGCCTCAGCCTTCCACATGCCAACAAACCAGCTCCCCTTCCAATTTCTTCATTCCTGCCATCATTCTCACACAGGTTCAAAATCTGGATATCATCTCTGACTCTTTTATTTTTTTAAAGTAATTGTTTTCAATGAATAAACATTTATTTTCTCTCCTCCCTACCCCAACCCCTTATTAGAGGAAAAGAAAACAGAAAAAGAATCCCACTTAACAAATAAACATAGCCAAGCACAATAAATTCCCACATCAGCCGTGTTCAAGAACAGGGGTCTCACGGTGCATCTTTACTCCCATCTTCATCACTGGTCCTCTGGATCATGGTGGGTCATCATTCTTAGGTCTCTCAACGCTGTTTGTCTTTACAATGTTGTTACTGTGTAAATTATTTTCCTGGTTCTGTTAACTTTGTTCTGCATAAGTTAGTCCAAGATTTCCCAGGTGTCTCTGAAACTATTCTTTTCATCATTTCTTTTTTTGTTGTTGTTTTGTTTTTCCTTAGGCAATTGGGGTGAAGTGACTTGCCCAGGGTCACACAGCTAGTGACATGACAAATCTTTGGTCTGAGGCCAGATTCGAACTCAGGTCCTCCTGACTTCAGGGCTGGTGCTCTACCCACTGCGCCGCCTAGCTGCCCCCATCATTAGTATTCCATCCCACTCATCGCCTTTGATTTTTCCTACTCTTTCATCCCTAATATAGAGTCAGCAAGTCCCATCAATTCTCCGCTATAGATGTCCTTTAGCTCCTGCATGCTTACCTATTACTCTAACAGTTCCAAACTCTTCTGCCTAGTTGTTAAAGTGCTTTATAGTGGCACCCAGGATAGAGCACCAGCCCTGGAGTCAGGAGGACCTGAGTTCAAATCTGGCCTCAGACACTCACTAGACTCAAACACTTACTAGCTGTGTGACCCTGGGCCAGTCACTTCACCTCCAAAATAAAATCAAATCCTTTATAATGGGTCCTACCTTACCTATTATTTCCCACTACTTCATAACATGATTTCTAGCATCCTAATGGAGGGAGACTGAGAAGGAAGACAGGTGGAGGAAACAGTATTATTGCCAGGAAAGTAGGATGTTGCAGGACAAAAAGGTGGAGAAGAAACCAGGCAGTGCCACGTACAATGCTGAGATGATGGTACAAGAAAGGAATAGGCAGGTAAAATTTTATAAACAAGATTATGTATCAGGTCACAACGTCACAGTCACACGACTGACTGAAAGATATGACGAATGTAAGAATGCCCACTTTTACTTACTGCTTGTTGATTATGAAAAAAATTGTGCAAGACATCTTCCAGGCTCCCCCCCAAACGTGTCTCCTATGTATGTAAAAGATTTGTGGGTACAAAAACATGAGAGATAACTGTGCTTATTAACATGAAGTGGGCTCTAAAACAGGGAGGCACATGCTTGCGAAAGGCATTTGTGCACAATCACAGAGGGCGTCGAATGCAAAGTCCAAACGGAAGAGGAGTCCCCTACAGATGATGGAGTTCTCCAGACGCTTCTGTTTGCAAATGACATTGTACTGATTACATCAAGCCCGGAATACTACTCGTTGTTTGCCGTTGTTTTTCAAGTAGTGCCCAACTCTCTGTGACCCCATTTGGGGTTTTCTTGGCAAAGATACTAGAGTGATTTGCCATTTCCTTCCCCAGCTCATTTTACAGATGAGAAAACGGAGGCAAACAGGATTAAGTGACTCGCTCATAACCACACAAAACAGTTGGGCCATTTGAAAATAAAGCAAAATTTAATTTTATGAAGTAAAAAGAAAGAAAAAAAGATTCGGGCCTAACAATCTACACAGATAAAACCTAGTGGATGAAGAATACCTACTGTCTAGACTCTAACATTCAGGTGGGTGGAGAACCCATGGAACTAATCTGTTGGTGAATGCATCTTGGATAGAAAACTACAGATGGTCAAAGGGACGAATGAGCCCAGAGTTTAATAGGAAAAAGAAGGTAGGTCACTTTGACAGACTTAGCTTTTCTCAGCACTGCAGTGATCTAAGACAATCCCAAAAGACTCATGATGGAAAATGCTATCCACATCCAGAGAAATAAGTATGGAGTCTGAATGCAGAGCAAAGCACACTTTTATTTTTTTAATGTTTTTTGTTCTTTCTTTCTTGTGGTTCTTCCCTTTTGTTCTGATTCTTCTTTCACACCATGACTAATGTGGAAATATGTTTAAGATGATTGTACTGGTATAGCCTATATCAGATTGCATGTTGTCTTGGGAAGGGGGGAAGGAAGGGAGGGGGAAAATTTAGAACTCAAAATCTTCTAAAAGTGAATATTGAAAACTAAAAGTAAATTAATTAATGAAAAAAAGAGGATAGGCTAAATTATATTTGGAATACTTTTCAGAGCTCCCAAGGACCCTAAGTTATTCCCTGAAATAAAACCCTGTTATTTTTAAATACCAATATTCTCCCAGTGATACTACGTGATTGAAGATCATAGAATGCCACCATCTCTGAAGGGATTGTGGGAGAAAGTTCTACAATTATTCTTAACAAAAACCCTTTTATTCCTTTAATTAACCCTTTAACTCTTTTTTTTAATATAAATTTATTTATTCTTAGTTTTCAACATTCACTTCCACAAGATTTTGAATTCCACATTTTCACCCCATCTTGCCTCTCCCCCCACCCCAAGATGGCATGCCTTCTGAATACCCCTTCCCCTAGTCTGCCCTCCCTTCTATCTCTCCCCACCCTTCTCTTATCCCCTTCCCCTTCTATTTTCCTGTAGGGCAGGATATATTTCTGTACCTCATTTCCTGTATTTCTTATTTCCCACTTGCATGTGGAAACATTTTGTTTTTTAAACATGTGTTTTTAGAACTTTGGGTTCCAAATTTTCTCCCTTCCTCCCACCCCACCCACCCTCACTGAAAAGGCAAGCAAGTCAATACAGGCCATACATGTACAGTTATGCAAAACACTTCCATAGTAGACATGTTGTGAAAAACTAACTCTATTTCCCTTAATTCTGTCTTGCCCCCCTCATTTATTCTGTTCTTTCTTTTGACCCTGTCCCTCCTCAAAAGTACTTCCTTCTAATTACCCGTGTCCCAATCTGCCGTTCTCTCCATCATCCCCCTGCTCTCTTGTCCCCTTCCTCCCCTATTTTCCTGTAGGGTAAGACAGATTTCCATACCCAATTGAGTGTGTATATTATTCCCTCCTTAAGCCAAATCCTATGAGAAGAAGATTCCCTCATTTCCTCTCACCTTCCTGTTTCCCCTCCACTGTAACAACCTTTTCTTGTCTGTTTTGTGCAAGATAATGTACCCCATTCTACCTGTCCCTTTTTCCTTCTCCTAGTATAATCCTCTCTCACCCCTTAATTTTATTCTCCAGATATCACCCCTTCATCTTCAACTCACCCTGTGCCCTCTATCTATCTATCTATCTATCTATCTATCTATCTATCTATCTATCTATCTATACATACATATAATTTTCCCCCTCCCACTACCCTAATACTGACAAAGGTCTCATGAATTATAAATATCATCTTTCCATGCAGGAATGTGAACAGTTCAGCCTTAATAAGTCTCTTATGATTTCTCTTTCCTGTTTACCTCTTCATGTTCCACTTGAGTCTTGTATTTGAAAGTCAAATTTTCTATTCAGCTCTGGTCTTTTCATCAAGAATGGTTGAAAGTCCTCTATTTCACTGAATTACCATTTTTTCCCCTGAAGGATTATACTCAGTTTTTCTGGGTAGGTGATTGTTGGTTGTAATCCTATCTCCTACCCACTGGGTAGGTGATTGTTGGTTGTAATCCTATCTCCTTTGCCCTCCAGAATATTATATTCCATGCCCTCCGGTCCCTCAATGTAGAAGCTGCTAAATCTTGTGTTATCCTGATTGTGTTTCCACCATACTTGAATTGTTTCTTTCTGGCTGCTTGCAATATTTTCTCCTTGACCTGGGAACTCTGGAATTTGGCTACAATATTCCTAGGAGTTTTCCTTTGGGGATCTCTTTCGGGGGAGATCGGTGGATTCTTTCAATTTCTATTTTGCCCTCTGGTTCTAATATATCAGGGCAGTTTTCCTTGATAATTTCTTGAAAGATGATGTCTAGGCTCTTTTTTTGATCATGGCTTTCAGATAGTCCAATAATTTTTAAATTCTCTCTCCTGGATCTATTTTCCAGGTCAGTTGTTTTTCCAATGAGATATTTCACATTGTTTTCTAATTTTTTCATTCTTTTGGATTTGTTCTACTGTGTCGTGATTTCTCATAAAGTCACTATCTTCCAATTGCTCTATTCTAATTTTTAAGGAAGTATTTTCTTCAGTAATCTTTTGGACTTCCTTTTCCATTTGGCCAATTTTGCTTTTTAGGGCATTCTTCTCCTCATTGGCTTTTTGGACCTCTTTTGCCATTTGGGTTAGGCTATTTTTTAAGGTGTTATTTTCTTCAGTATTTTTTTGGGTCTCCTTTAGCAAGCTGTTGACTTGTTTTTCATGATTTTCTTGCATTACTTTCATTTCTCTTCCCAGTTTTTCCTCTACTTCTCTTACCTGCTTCTCAAAATCCCTTTTGGGCTCTTCTCAGGCCTGGGACTAATTCATATTTTTCTTGGAGGCTTTGGATGTGGGAGCTTTGACTTTGTTGTCTTCTTCTGGTTGTGTGTTTTCATCTTCTTTGTCACCAAAGTAAGGTAATATAGTCTGACTCTTTTTGCGCTGCTTGCTCATGATCCCAGCCAATTACTTTAGTTTTAAACTCTTTGTTAAGGTAAAAGCCTGCTTCCAATGTGGAGAATGTACTGTCCTAAGCTTCGGGGGTTTGTATAGCTGTTTTCAGAGATACTTCTAGGGACCTGTAAATTTTCAGTTCTTCCAAGGTGGTATGATAAGGGTCGAGGTGTTTACTCTTTTCCTGGCCTGAGCTCGGGTCTTTGAGTGGCCGGCCACAAGCAGTCTTTTCTCTCTTGG